GTCGTCCTCGCTCAGAAACCGCTGACGTTCAGAATGTGTGTCGACTACACTGACCTGAACAAGGCGTGCCCCATGGACCCGTTCCCTCTCCCCAATATTGATCAGCTGGTGGACGAGACGGCGGGGTGCGAGTTGATGTCGTTCCTCGACGCTTTCAGAGGGTACCACCAAATCTCCATGCATGAAGATGACGCTGAGAAGACGTCATTCATGACCCCAGGGGGAATCTTTTGCTACCTCGTCATGGCCTTCAGACTCAAAAACTCCGGCGCCACTTATACTAGGATGGTGGCCAAGATCTTCAGAGCGGTCCTTGGCCGGACGATGGAGGCGTACGTCGACGACATGATCGTCAAGAGCAGGCAGGCCACCTCCCACGCCGACGATCTCCGGGAAATCTTTGAAATAATGAAGGAGTTCAGGCTCCGTCTCAACCCCAAGAAGTGCGCCTTCGGCGTCCAGGGCGGCAAGTTCCTCGGCTACATGGTCAGCCGGAGAGGCATCGAGATAAACCCGGAGAAGACGCAGGCTATCATCAACATGGAGCCGCCCCGCAACGTCAAGGAGGTACAGCGACTGACGGGGCGCCTGGCGGCCTTAAACCGGTTCCTCTCCAGGTCAGCCGAGAGGGCACTCCTTTTATTTCAGATCATGCGGAAAGCCAGCAGCTTCAAGTGGACGAAGGAGTGCCAGGAGGCATTCGACGAATTGAAAAGGTACCTGTCGTCCCCACCCGTGCTCTCCAAGCCCAGAGCCGGCGAAACCCTCTTCTTGTACTTAGGGGTGAGCACGTCGGCCATCAGCTCCGTGCTCATCCGTGAGGACGAAGGGGTGCAGAAGGCCATTTTCTACATCAGCAAGACACTCAGGGAGGCCGAGCTCAGGTACTCCCCCGTTGAGAAGACGGTGCTGGCCATCGTCCACACGGTGAAGAAGCTGGGGCACTACTTCCAGGCCCACGCCGTCCATGTACTGACCCAGCAGCCTCTCGGCGCACTCATGAGGAGCCCCACCAGCTCCTCTAGGATGGTGAAATGGGCGATTTTCCTCAGCCAATTTCAAATTGAGATCAAGCCAAGGCCATCCATCAAAGGGCAAGCCTTGGCCGACTTCGTCATCGAATGCACAGCAAGGGAGACGGCCGTCGCCAACCCCGGGCCGGAACAGGACGATACATGCACCCTGTTCACTGACGGCTCGTCGGCCGCGAAATCATGCGGCGTCGGCGTCGTCCTCATATCCCCTGAAGGATTCAGAGCTTACTATGCCATCCGCTTCAACTTCAGGGTATCCAACAACGAGGCCGAGTATGAGGCCCTCCTCAGCGGTCTCAGACTCGCCGCCGGCCTCAAGGCCAAGCACCTCAAAATCAAGTGCGACTCCAAACTGGTAGTGGGCCTGGTGGAGGGATCGTATGAAGCAAAGGAAGGCCGGATGAAGCAGTACAAACATGCGGCGGAGGAGTTGCTGAAAGCGTTTGAAACCCACGAGATCACTCAGATCCCAAGGGCCGAGAACGCCGAAGCCGACATCCTCTCCAAGCTCAGCTCGGACACCCCGGAGCACATCTCCCAGTTGGCCAAGATCGAAGAGTTGAGCATGTCCAGTATCCATGCCAGCCCCGTCTTATGCGTCCAACAGCGACCAGAGGACTAGATCTCCGACATCGCCACCTTCATCACAACGGGGGAGCTGCCCCCGGACGAGGAGAGGGCCAAACTTGCCAAACTCAGGGCCCCAAGCTACACCGTCGAAGATGGCAAACTCTACAAACGGTCCTATAATGGCACTCTCCTCCGATGCCTGCACCAAGACGAGGCCGACACGGCCATGGAAGAAGTTCATTGTGGCGTCTGCTCCTCACACCAGGGCCCTTTCAGTATGTCCCGGCGTCTCGTCGTCCAGGGCTTCTTCTGGCTGACGATGGCACGCGACTGCGCCGACCTGGCCAGGAAGTGCACCACATGCCAGGTATTCCAGAAGGCCCCTGGTCGGCCAGCTGTCAACTATGCCCATGTCAGCACCGCAATTCCATTCTCCAGATGGGGGATTGACCTGGTCGGCCCCCTGCCCAGAGCCGCCGGGAATAACCGCTACATCATCGTCGCCGTCGACTACTTCACCAAGTGGGTCGAGGCGGAACCCTTGGCCAGCATCACGGGGGCCAGATGCCAAAAATTTGTTTACAAGAACATCATCACACGCTTTGGCGTCCCCCAGGAGATTATATCAGACAACGGCACCCAATTCGAGGCAGCCCCTTTTCAAGAACTCCTCCGGGAGTTTGGGGTAAAGCATCGTTTCTCCTCCGTTGCCTACCCTCAGGGCAATGGGCAGGTCGAGAACGCCAACAGAACAATTATGGAGGGGCTGAAGAAGAAGCTCCAGGCCGCAGGAGGTAGTTGGGTCGACGAGCTCCCCAACATCCTGTGGTGCTACAGAACCACGCCGAGGAGGGCGACAGGTGAAACACCTTTCGCCCTGTGCTACGGCTTTGAAGCAAAGGCTCCCACGGAAGTTGCCATCCCCAGCCGACGGGTGGAACAATATGAGCCTGACACCAACGAAGAGAACATGAAGATCGACCTACACCTGGTTGATGAGAGGCGTGAGCAAGCTTACGTCCGAGCAGAGAACTACCGGCGTCAAGTAAAATCATACTATGACGCCAAGGTACGTTCCCGGGAATTTCAGGTGGGGGACTACGTCCTCCGCCGAAGGGAAGCAAGCCAGCCGACAGAGGGTGGCAAGCTAGCATTGAAGTACGAAGGGCCCTACATCGTCAGTGCCGTGGTCAAACCCGGCACCTACAAGCTTAAACGCCTGAATGGGTCCAATGTACCACGAACGTGGAATGTACACCATCTGGTGAAGTTTTATCAGTAATCCGAAGGAGGTGCAGACGGCGAAGCCCTCACCCCTTAACGGGTTACTGATTGAACGCCACCCTCGGCCTCGAGCCACTTATGAATAAAATCATGTTCCGATTTTTTCTCTGGAATTTAAAGTAAAACATTAGCAGGTGCCCCCGTCGGCCACCTTAGAGCGAAAGGCTCAGGTATGGCCGACGTGGCCCCTTGCATTTGCAGCCTACGAGCGACAAGCTCAGGCACTCCATTGTATTTTGTATCAGCGAAGGGCTCAGGCCTAGCTGAGAGAGCACATCGTCCTGGCCCTGTAAGCCTAGAAGTGAAACGCTCAGGTATGGCCGACGATATCCCCAGAACGAGGGGCCCGCAAACGGCCCACGTCTTGAAACGGGAAGCTCACCGCGTCGTCCACGCGCCAGAACGCAGGACGACAGGCCTGAAATCATGGCCGAGGTGACAAAATCCCAAAACTCAGGGATGGGCAACGACAGCCGTTGGAAACCGACCAAAAGTCTAGCCCGCGTCATAAATAGGCGACGGGACCCGCCCTGAGATCACGGACGTTAAAAACGAAGTCCGAACCGGCCGAAGGACGAGCACACCCTTCGGCCGAAGCCTGAAAGAAGGATACTCCCCGGAAATTAAAAAAAAAAATATATATATATATATATATATATATATATATATATATATATATATATATATATATAAGGGAAAAGAGGGAAGCCGACGGCCGCGTACACTAGCCGGCCTCGAGCAATGAAAAAATAAAATCCCCACAACTCAGGCCCAACTAGGCCAAGTACATATCAGTTGAATACAAGTATAGTACCACTGACAGGCAACATGGACGACACGTCCACGCACCACAAAGAAATGATCAAGGCCGAAACACACGCCTATACAACCCTAACCGCATCGGTTGGGTGACACCCGACAGGTGACCTTCATCGGCCACAGTCCTTTGAAACACCAACGCTTGGTATGAAACAAAGAACCACAATCCTGAGGATGGCCAGGACGCCGCAGGCACTTATCACACCCACGGAGGAATCAAGCAATCAAAAACAATCCCCACTTACTACAGCACCCCGGATAGCCGATGCAGGCACCAGAACCTAGGCTGTTGCTGAAGCGAAATATCTTTGGGAATGTGTCCAAGTATCTATTAAACACTTAGAGAAAATTTTGAGAAAAAAGGTTCCTCAAGAAGGAACTATGGCCAGCCGACGAAGGTAGAGCCATCTCGGGAAAGCAAGGGGCCCCCTCATTGGCCACAAGGCCAGACCTTGGCCGATGAGGGTAGGGCCACCTCCAAGCCAACAGCGGTACCACAAGGAAGCAACTATGCCTTACATCTGTACTTAAAAAATTCCCTAAGTACTTAAATGAAGGAACTCTAGACGAAGTGTGTACCTTTATACCCCAGGGCCGTTAGCTACCTACACCTCTGCATGTGTACTTAGAAGAATTCTAAAGTTCAAAAAATCAGGGTGAAGGTGCCCTTCTCGGCCACAACGCAAAGGATACAAGCCAACAACGACACTGGCTCAAACACTTGGGAAATCTCCCAGAGCATTTGTCAAAAATGATGAATCCAAGGCCAGGACGATGAGAACGCTCAGCCACTTGAATTCCAAAAGATAAGAAAGCCAACGCCTGGACGGAGCGGACACCACGGTCAAGGCTGAAAAGGGAAGCACCTAAAGGGATCCAAAACACTTAGGAAATTTTTGAAAAAAATCCTAAGTGTTATGGTAGCCAAGAACCACCGGTCAAGCCGACAAGGCCACCAGGCCACAAGGAAGCAACTGTAAGAACCCAAAAACACTTAGGAAATTTTTCGAAAGAATCCTAAGTGTTATGATACTACATCAACACGGCCAGGCCGACCAAGCCACCAGACCGGGAAGAAGGCATCCAAGTGAACCCAAAACACTTAGGAAATTTTCTGAAAAAATCCTAAGTGTTATGGTAGTAAAGCAACGACGAACAAGCCGACCAGTCCACCGGACGGGGTGGACTACCCCATGGACGTAGCGGGCACTCGCGAGGTGACCCAAGTTGTGACCTTGCCACTTAGAAAAAATTTCAAAAACGAAATGAGAAAAGGCAAACAAGCATACAAGGGATTCAAAGCCGAACAGGACGGCAAAATTTTTTTCATTGATGGTCAAGTTCATTACAATTGGGGGGCGCTACGGCCGTTACATCATTTGGCAAAAATAAAAATTAACTACAGAGTAGCAGATCAAGCCTCTGGGGCACCTCCATCTGCGGCTGGCTCTTCGGCCTCGTCGGCCCCCTCCTCGGCTTCAATCTCCTGGCCGGCAGCGGCCGCAGCGCTAGTGGCATCGTCAAGGAAGTCAAATTCAGTGTAATCCGGCTCGCCGAGGCCGGAGCTTTCAATGGGGGACTCGCGCTCCGACAAGGGAAGCTTCGCCTGCTCTTCTGGATCCTTCATCAGCTTCGGCAGCTTCAGGTTCCGTCTAGCCCACCCAGACGTATAGTTCATGGCCTTCAAAGCACGAGAGAGCCGCCAACACAAGAGCCTTTACATCCGCTCCTGGCCCATGTTATAATACACAGACATCTCTCGGCTGAAATACTCCTGGCCGGCGGGGGAGTTCATCCCCCAACTCTCAAGCCTGGCGGCCACCACCCCGTAGCACCAGGGAAGCCTCTCATCGGCCTTCCACCCCTCGGCCAGGAACTTCTCCACGGCCTCATCAGCAGCCCTCACAACGGCGGCCTCGGCCTCAGTCTTCGCCTTCGCGGCCTCCTCGCTCTTGCGCCGCTCGGCCTCCAGCGTTCGTTGGGACTCCTCGAGCTCCCTTTTGCTCTCCTCGAGCTTCGCCAGGGCATCGTCCCTGGCTGCGGCGGCTTCATCGGCCCTTTCCTGCAACGCCCTGGCATCCTCCCGGAGCCGATCTAGGCAAGCTACCGCCTCGTCGGCCGAGGCGGCCTTCTGCTCCAGCTCCTTCAGACGAGCTATCTCTCGGTATTGCCTTTTATGGCTCTCCATGAGCATAAAGGCACTCTGCAGAAACAAGGGAAACAAAAGTCAGGCAAATGATTCTACACGGACGACGAGAAAAACGACACTTACGAAGGAAAGTAACTTACTTGGACGAGGAGGTCCATGCCGCCCTCGTAAATCTTAACGTCCCCGAGCTTCTTCAAGTAAGCCCGATCTTTGGCCGGCATGGCCTGGGCCAGGACGTCGTGGCCAAGGACGACATCATCGAACACACCCCCGCCGACGGGGTATTCTACCATCTTCTGGTAGGTGGCACCGGCTATCTCCTTACCGGCCCTCTTCGTCCGCGGTTCCTGGATGAGAGGAAGCGACGGGGCAGCATCGCCAGCAACAGTCAGGTCCACGACGGGACCACCATCGTCCACGCTGGGAACAGCCAGAGTACCGGCCTCGGTACCTGGGGAAGGAGAAGGTGCCCTCTTCGTCTTCTTGGAGACGTTCAGGCCGGCCTCAGTTAATTTCTTCTGGCCGTCAGTGGCCGGCCTTTTCTTCTTCGATTGGGCAGGCCTTGGGGGCGCATCAGTAGTAGCCCCACTCCCACCGGCCGCGGCACGTCGGGCCGCCTCGGCCGCCTTAGCAGCCAGCTCCTCGGTCGCTTTGGCATTGGCAATAGCCATTATGGAACGCCGGTCCATGGCAAAATCTACAAAGGAAAAACACAACAGATTAGTAAGGCAAAGGAACAAAACATAAAGACAGAAAGCCGAAGAAATAATTACCATCGGCCTCAGCAGGAATGCCCAAATCCGGGCCGTCGGTGTAACACCCCCAAATTTTCCACCCAAAATAATTATTTATGCAAATGAAAATGAACTTAATTTGAAATATTGAAATGTTGCAGCGGAGTAACATAATTGAAAATTGAAGGTGTTACCGCCACACTTAGCAAGACCATCGCTAAGTGCACAGGCTAACAGAAGTACTTGTTCAAATATTCTAGAGTGAGGAAATTAGAGTAGTAAAGATGTCTATTACATGATCTTAAATCAAAAGTTCATAAATAAAGTCTTATTACTAGTAATATCTCTAGCTAGCGCTCTCAAGAACCGTAAGCATGCATGTCATCATCCAAAGCATATCCATCTGTACAAACAAGGAGGAAAAGAAAACAAAAGAGACAAAAATTAGCTTTCGCTAAGTAAGCCCCACCCAACCCCGTAAAATAATAGGTTTGATGAAAATAATGTTTTGTATATAGTATAGGTAAATGATTTTTGTCAAATAAAATTCTCTTGTCTTTGCTTTCCTCAAAATCTCATTATAGCTAAACTCCCTAGTAGATTCGAAGGGCGGTGCTCAAGATCATATTGAGCCCGGTGGACCGTTGTTATGTACGGCCACCCCGGAACTTTTGCCGGTACCACAACTCCCATGGAAACTGAACTTCTACCTTAAGTGTGCACACCCCCAAAAGGGATTCCAAGCCCTCCGAGTAGTAAGAAGCCCAAGTAGTCCGGACGTCAACGTCCCCCTACCACACCAAAAAGGGTTTACCCCTTAGATGACTAGGTTACTGCTACTACTAACATAAAAGGGTCTGATGCCCAAAGATAAAATTCTCAATTTTTCTCGGATTGGTTACCGAGCCTCCCAAATATTTCCAAAATTTCTCGGATTTGTTACTGAGCCTCCCAAACCAGTAGTAGCAGCCCTAACCACCCCCACAGTCAAGGTCGTGGAGATCACCGACACCGCGGATTTCTCCCGCGATGCCCTTACATTGAAAGGTTCATTTTATCTTGAATTATTTCCCAAAAATTTCTATATCTATTATTCATAGATATAGTTTTAGAACAAGAATTTCTATTCACATTTCTCCAAAACGTACAACATAACATACTTAACACAAATAGTTCACAATTCATGAAAATCCACATAATCATAATCTCAACAACAATTACTCAAATAAATAAATAAAAATACATATCATATGTAATATACGAGGTAAAAGCATTTTGGTTGACATAGGACTTACCTCAAACTCCAAATACTTTTAGTTAGGTCTCCTAATTTGCTCCTCACTCAAATCACCTTCTATTTAAAATTCACAAATCAATATCTATCCAACTTATATTCTAATTCTCCTATCCTCTAATATAATCTCCCGTTTTTATTACTCTTCTAAGGTTAACTTTTATGATATATTTTATTCTTATTTTATTTATTATTATTTCTTTTTGCATTGAAAATTCCTTCTCTTAATTAACTCGATATGTGTAAAATAGTATCAACATTCTACTTCTTTTTATAAAATAGTCTACATGAGCCCAGTTTACCTCTAATTCATTCAAAAGTTTATAATCGGCCACTTATAATTATGACTAGTCCAAAAGTTAATCCATTCATTTTATTGCCATTAACTTAATCCTTCTTATTACTTTTGATCTATTAAGCCATTCAAAGTAGAATAACTTCCATCTTACTTTATAAATTTCCAAATCGTTCAATTTCATTAGTTAGCTCAATTTGATTTACATCGTAACTAGTTTCATTATACTTATTATTATTATTATACTTATTATTATTATTATTATCATTATTATTATTTTATTATTAAACTTTTGCTATTTTTATTATCAATAGAGTTGGAGGTTGAGCCGAATAGTCTAGCTAAGAAAATACGTAGTATAAGGATAGTACCAGTTGGCCGGCGAAGAAAAAGAAACAGAGACGTGCGTCTTTGCTATACGTGATATCGGCGACGCAGGTTTTTGACGGTGGGTCCCTTCTCTCTGCTCCGGCAAGTTTCGTACCAGCCCCTCCAACGTTGATCGTTCCTCACTAGTCGCTCTCCTCCTCTCTTACTCACAGACCAGAGTTTTTAATTTAGGTGCTTTGTATGTATTTTATTTTATCTTCTTCTTATGTTATGCAGCCAGTATACATGCGCATGGAATGTATTTATAGGAGGTCTTGGTTGCTCGTTTAAGCTTCTGCGAAGGATCTAGTAGCCTGGTTATACGTCGTTTGGGTTGCTGCACTTATTGCTATTATAATTGTCATAAATGATTCGTATCATTCACAAGAGCATGTATATGGAAGGTCTTATGTGTGTGTGTGTAAATGATGTACATACATACATGTCCGCATGTGAGTATGTGTATAAGGATAGACACGTATGTATGTTTGACCAGCCCCTAATCCTTTTCATTTATTATTTTGTTAATATAAAATTTATGTGTGTGTATTGCCCTGCCCGTATATGCATGCTCCTTATGAGCATAGCACTATCTTTTATGTATGTGTGCATATGTTATGTATTATTTTATATTTGTCTTTAATATTTCTTTTTATTTCATTATCACACTAATTGTATCTAATTTATTTTATTTTTATTTTTTTTTATAAAATTTTAGGGTATCACAGTCGGCCTCTTCAAATGTGGTGGTCATCCTCGGCCAGAGTTGGAGGTCATCCTCCTTATCTCCATACAAACAGGTGGTATCTGAAGAAGCCGAGGGCGGTCATCTTGTATTCAGTAACGTAATCCTTCACGCTCCTCGGCCCCCCTTCCAGGAAAGCCTCCACCTGAGCGTCCAAGATAGAGCTCTTCGGCGGGTCATGGAGATTGAACCTCCCGGTATGGCCGAGAGAGGGGAACTCGGTGCCACTCTCACCCAGGGATACGAAAACGAACTTGCTCTTCCACCCATGAATGGACGAAGGCAAGTCCGTGAAGCTCCTCTTCTTCGGCAGCTGTTGAAGAGTAGCATAGGCCGCACAGTTCTTGTGGCTTCCTCGACCGATCTGGTACAGATTCATGAAGAGGGCCGTTGTCGGCCTGTAGCCTAGCTCCTCACACCGGAGCAAAAACCCCACCATCAAGGAGTAGCTGTTCGGCGTCAGCAAGGCCGGAGGAAGCCCTACCATGTCCAGGTACTCAGTGATGAAAGGGTGAAGGGGGAACCTCAACCCCTTAGCAAAACTCATCGGGTATACTCCAAAGTATCCCGGTGGCGGAAGAAGAACATGGTCCGTCGGCCTGGGTGCCCTAACCCGCCCGAACGGCCCCACGTACATCTGGGCAACAAGATAGTCGGCCGCACTGCTCTCCGGCTTGATCAAAAAGATATTGGTGAGATCCAGGTAGGAGAGGCCCGACCCATTCTTCGGCCTCCTCACCCTCTTCGGCTTAAATGCTCCCTTCACGGCAGACACCGGCCTCGGGCAGGGAATGACAGCAGAAGTGGACGCCCCGTCCACCACTCGGGACGCACCTACGTCCTCACCTTTTGAAGAGGAGGCAGACTCCTCGTCCTCGCCTTCCTCGTCCACCGGCTCTTCGGATTTGTAGGGACTTAAATGCTCTATCTCCTCCTCGAACTCCTCGAGCACCTCGTAGTCAAGTGACCTCGTGGAGGGCTGGTCGTCGTAGGGGTAGTAATCTTCGTTCAAGCTCTTCATAACTACTACTACGGGCCTAAGGAGACTAACTTAAGATCTAAGGGTGTTCAAACGCCTAACACTAGATCAATACTCTAGGAAGCAAAATATGAAAAGTGAGGAAGATCGCGATGAACACTAACCTTGAACAACGAAGAACACGAAGAACAACCTTGGGAGTTTATCTCTCTAGAAAAATGGCCAGCACTTCGACAATTCAGAATGCAAATGTGATTTCTCGTCGGAGGAGGAGGGGTATTTATAGAACCCCCCACCCAACGGTCACTACACGTGGCACCCTCCCAATGGCCACGTCAGCGGTCGCCAATGGGAGGCCACCACGTCACCAACGGGCCAAAACCAATATCAGCCCACCAGCAAAGCAGACTCTACGGCCTACACACGCGCCGGCTTCACAAGTACCAGCAGGAGCCCACGTCCCATTTGCTTGCCAGGAGACGGCAACGGCCAGGAACGTAACAAACACCCATAACGGCCACAGAACAAAATGAACAAAGAAGCCCACAGCCATCGGCTCCTCGTACTAACCCTTGATGATAACTCTCTACAAGCGATCTGCGCACAAGGGTTCTCCCACAGGGTTACCTTGGCCAGAAAATCGCCATGAGGGTTGGATTCAGGGGGACTACGGAGAGACCGCTTCGGCCAGGGACTCATGCAACTCCTTCACCCCTCACACTCTTCGGCCTGAAGCAGTGGGGGACTGGGGGACTACATCGGCCTCAACGGAACAAAAAGCAACAATGCAAAGAACATGAATGTAACCACAAAGCATGGCCACATCGTCCACGCATCACAATGGACACATCGGCCAGAGGCACATGACATCATCAACAACGGCCAAAAGGAGTGCACGAGCACCCTCATCGGCCACCCAAAGGAAAGGACGCCATCGTCCTCGAAGCAAGGATCAACTTCAGTGGCCTCATCGGCCCAAACACAAACTTCAACCATCAACGCCCAAGCGAAACGTGCCTTTCAACGGCCGCCATTGAAACAAGACACTTACCGTCCTCAAATGAACACCTTAAGGAAACAACGGCCTCCCCGCCCACAGCGAGGGACAGGTAACGGCCAAAGCACAGAACAGGATCACCAAAGGGGAAACAACGCCAGCGCCGCAACGGCTGAACGCCGGGGATGCACGCATCGGCCAAAAGCACTAAAGCACATGAATTTACTCTCCTTCACTTCGTCTACGTCTCAGCTTAGAGAGTGGGGGACTCCTGATGGAGTATATGGGTCTGAGCCCCCGAACCCACATACTCGGAAGAACAGAAAGCACAAGACAACAGAGTGGCGCCCTCGTCGGCCAAGACGCCCCCGTCGGCCGAAAAGGGACCAACTCGGATTATGGTCCTGAGTCCAAGGAACCCGGGTGCCCTCGTCGGCCGTGCCCTCGTCGGCCACGAAGACCTCACAGAATCGGATTTTATACTTATTCATTTATACAGCCCATTAGTGGCTTTGTATTCGGCCCAGTAGCGGTCCAGTTGTAAATGGGCCTCCCAAGCCCAAGACTTGGGAGCCCAACCCTAATTTTCTCTATAAATACTCCCCTTGGGAGTAGTTATAGGGGTTACAAATTCATTCTATTGAAGCATATTATTGCACTTCTCTCTCTAGCTCTCACTTCTCTCTAGATATACTCTATCAGCGTACATCCGACCTCCCCTTACCCCACCGTAGGTGAGAGCTTTTGCGGCACTGGGGTAAATGAAAATGAAATGAAAATGAAAATAGAAATTTACTTTTACTTTAAATTCGAACTCGAATTCGAGCATCTTATTCAAGCTCAAATCTATAAAAATAATAAAATTTGACCCGAGCTTGAACCGAGATCGAGTTGAGCTCGGCTCGACTTCGAGCCCGAAGTATTTAAGTCCTCCAAGCTCGACCTTGAATTCGAAATATTGAATTCTTATCGATTTCAAACTCAAACTCAAGCACACCCATATTCGAACTCGACCGGCCATGTTTGCACTTTGCGCCCCTATTTCTAAATTCTACTCCCTCCATACCAGAATTATCTTCGTACTCTCTTTTTTGTTCGATTCAAAATTATCTCCTCTTTCCCCTTTTTAACAAATAATTATGGTTCGAAACATTTCTTCCCATTTTTGAAAGGAGTACATGACTCTTCCCTGCAGAAGACGCACTATCTTAAACGTTGTGCAAGTTGTACTTGTGAAGGGATTAATGTATTTTCTCGATCATAACAGGCGGAATGAATATAACTAACCGTCCAAACGTATACTGTGGGCTCATCCATAACAGAACACCTCTCGATCCAGGTTAAGCAATTTCACAGTATCTCGCGGCTCGCGCGTCAATTCAAGCGGTTATGTACGCCAATTTTGATCATCAATCATGAACAGTTTTTTATGGCTCGTTTTTTACTTTTTGTTAGCAATACGTTTCGTATTTCTTTTTTTACTTTGAAAAATAATACTGCGCACTACGTAATAATCTTACACGGAGTAATTGAGTTTCATTTCGTGTCCGGCTATTTCGATTAGTCAAACTTCGGAAGTTTTCTGGTTGATATCCATAAGTTTGGGGTGTTTTGGTGTTCAATTAGATTCTGGAAGAGTTGGCTTACTCTGTTGATTTGGTTTATTTGTTTAAGAAATGTGTTCTCAAATATAATGGTTCAAATATCCCTTTCATTAATGCAAATATACTTATTCTGGAGCGTAGATCGCTTGCAATGGTGCTTATTTGCCTGAGTTAATTCATTAGATTTCACCGGCATCAGGAAAAATCTCTTGTGCCCATGGAGCTTCTGTTTTTGTTGTTGTCAAGTTTATTTAAAATTGTTTTTTTAACAATTGGTTGGTTTCTTTGTACCATTGATGCACAATGTGCTAGGCTTCATGAAAGTTTTTTTTTCATATCATGGTCCAATTTTTTTTATGGCAGGATGATGTCCTTCTCTAACTTCTCCATTTGTAATTTATAGGAAATGGATGAAGGTTATGAGGAGAATGATGGGAACGCTGTACCCATGACGCCCACTGACAATAATTTGAAAGAAAAGAAGAAGAAAAATAAGGGACTGGTGTCTAGAATGTGGAATGCTATTTTCAGTTTACACGAAGTTGATTTTGAGAAGAGACTGAAATATATTCATAAGGAGGAGGTTGCTATATTGGCAAGAATAAAAAAACGCTCACAATGTTGGGGAAGAATGACCAGACATCTGATTATGCTTTCTGTAATTTCTGAAGTAATGCTTTGTTTTGGCTACTTTATTATTTTGGTAGCATAAACTAAACGAGTTTGTTGTTGTATGAAGTTCAAGGCTCGAATTTCTAGGCCTTCATTAACTCCTATTTGACAAAAGCATCCTTAGAACTACGGAAAGTTCCCAGAGTTATGCTTCGGGTTTTTTATACGGAGTATTTCTCTAAATGACCATGTACTGTACACGTTTCTTAAGATAATATTGAGATGTGCTAAAGTACCTTTCCTGAGCTGATCCTATGATTCTATGAAATATCCTAATGTAACTGCTTGCTTATTTTAGAAATACCGAAAGCCAAAGGGAAATAGTCAACTATCTTTTGAACATCATTGAATGGACTTAGTTGAAATAATCTATTAGGCTATTTACACATGTCATCAAGCAATTACCCTTTTGGTTATATTACAAGTTCAAAAAAAGTTACAAAACACTTCCAAAATTAGCACATGGCACGGAGATCCTGCTTCTCAACACATCACCTTGATACCAATGCTAATTACAAAAAGCCAAATATACTTTTTGTAAGTGTCTTTTGTGTTACTCCGTACTTTTTTTAAAATGTAGCATTATGCTAAGCTTCACGGTTGATACTTGCTGCACACAACATTGATTTTATATTTTTTATGTGAACCTATCCTTTGCATATTGTGGGGCAACTTTGCTAACCTTTAACATCCTCCGTTGTTGGTGATTTAGAGCCATTTTAGTAGCCAAAAGGGGATTATTCTGCTGATTCTGATTATCAAGTGAATAATCATATTGAACAGATTAAATAGCATTTGACCTACTTATTTGGCTGGAATAGATTTTTACCTTATTGAACAGATTAAATAGCATTTGACCTACTTATTTGGCTGGAATAATCATCAGTCAAATGACCATACACCTTTGAAATTTGAATTACTAATTTGGTTGAAGTGGATCTTAAAGTCTTAATAAGCATAATTTCTAAGTTTTCTTATCTCCATGCTCTTTAAAACATTATTCAATTGATGGTATTGGGCTCCTTTTAAAATGTATTGACTTTCTTAAGTTTTGGCTGTGGAATGTATATGTACATTTGTTATTTGATGTAATTTTGTAAATATATAATGCAATTCCATAAATATACACATAAAACAATAACTCTCTTTTCTAAGAGTCTTGGCTTAAAAATATTTATATTTGATGACAGGTCATTGCAGTGGGTTATGCTATCATGACTACAAGATCACTTGACATGGACTGGAAAATGCGGGCTTTGCGAGTTTTGCCTATGTTCATTTTACCTTTCTTATCTTTCCTTGCTCATTCAGTTGTTGGAAGCCTTATAAGGATGCGTAAGTAGCCTATGTCAATCAAGCTTCCTTTAACTTCCTTCCAGTTTTTGCATTCAAGTTTTGGTGACTGTAACTATTTGTCACGGCTTTCCATTCTGTTTCCTTCTTTCCATTCAAGTTTTTTATATTAGATCTGTTGCGTTTCTTTATACATGATACTAACTATTAATTATCTTCTTCTTATACCGAGTAATAGCTTCCCTACAATACATATAATATCGTGACTAATAACTATCTGTATGAGGTAAAGTCAATAATCAGAGAATTGAATGGGATTAATGTGATGGGGGGGGGGGGGGGGGGGGGAAGCTACTACTATTGTCTGTTCTTGCTAATATTTATGTTCACTTGTTGCTTGAGAGTCGACGTGGTTTTCTTATCCCGCCTCTGTTTCACCTTCATGCTTTCTGCATATAATGTAATAATTCATTGTGAATGATGGTTCATTGGTTTGTGACCATCACAGTGAATGCATAAAATGCATTACTTTGTTGCACCCAGGGAAGCTGAACCATTATATAAGTTGGTCTTGTACACTGGTGTTTTCATTTCCAGCATCATTAAGTAAGTCTAAGGAGACATTTTTTGTATAGATTCCAACATGGCATGCATTTATTGGATGATTAAAAGTTGCCGAACTCTTTATTATCCAATAAATTATTGCCATGGACTGTACATACAAAATGGACACAAAGCATAAGTCCCTAGACTCACTCTTCTAGCATTAGTTGACAGTTGACCATGATGGGATTATCGCATAATTAGTTGATTTGGTTGCCTTTGTTGGTCCAAACGGGTTCGTTGGTCTGTGTGGGCTCAAAGCCTCAGACGACTGTGTATCGTCCATGCTCTTCTTCTGCTTCTTCTTCTTTCACTGTGGCTTGTTTATAGGTGAACGGAAGGACCAAAAAATACTGGAAAAGCTTCGGGCTGAACGGCAAGCAAAGATTGATGAGCTTAAAGAGAAAACAAATTATTATACCACACAACAGCTCATTCAGGTCAAGATACATTGACGCATTACACCTATTTGTTTCTTTTCAGATTATTTGAATTCGTTAAGGCTGGAGTTTTTACTTGTTTGAAAATGGATATTCAACTTTTTTGCTCTTATGCAGTGTTTGTTAGGTTAACAAGAGAGAGAAATAGTTGAACAAATTTGAGTGGAAAGTATGATTTTTTTGCTAGCCTCATGGTTTGTTCTTTTCCTCATTGTTGTGAAGGAAGTGGGGATTGAACGATTCCATACGTACCCTCGATGCTATTTAATTAAGAACAAATGAGATCTGTTTTTTAGTGTTGCGTGGTGAATACATTTGTAATTAACAAAATAATTTTTTTCTTCAGTTTCTCCTCGTCTTCTTTCACACCAACAACACTTAAAACCTACCTTATTTTGCTCTTCTCCATTTCCATTGTGTTCCTAACCCAAACAAAGGCCTAGAGCTTTGGTAAAGCACCAATGAGAATAGTTAACCATATCTTCGAATCATACTGACAACCACATGTCTATAAAACATTATATTGGTATAAATAATAACACTAAGGTTCAAATGTATCATATTTCAGTGTGTTTTCTCTCTTTGCGTAGAGGTATGACCCTGATCCAGCAGCCAAGGCAGCTGCTGCTACTGTACTGGCATCTAGGCTTGGTGCAGAAAGTGGGTTGAAAATCCATCTGGGAAATGATAGGTCTATTGAAAATGACCCTACCGGAAGCAGAACTGGTGCTGCTGATTCAAGTGGGCTTCGACACCGAAAGCAGAAGCAAACCACTTCTCGTAGCCCACATGAAGAAATACTTCCACAACTTGACGACTCTGATGGGAGAGAGTATCATAGGCAGGTCGTTGGGCCTTATAATCCCAGCCCACATGAGGGAGGGTGGCTAGCACGTCTTGCTGCATTGCTTGTGGGAGAGGATCCAACTCAATGTTATGCACTTATATGTTGCAACTGTCATATGCATAACGGTATGGAGTCTGATACTACCATCATTCATTTTACATACTCCCTCCATCCCAATTCCCAAAACAGTTTGGTAAAGTACCGTCTTTATATTTTGGTCAACGCAATTACAAGCTTTTAATTAATATTGAGTCGTCACTTATACATGTGAATCTTATTTCAAAGATTGTTTGTAGTAATTGGCTAAAACCATTGCATCTTGGCATTAACAAACAATGAAATCTAGTTTTACTAGTTGTTATAAGCTTGTAAACTGAAAGTCAACTCATTTACAATCTTTTACAAAATATGAGTGATTGCTTATACCTCTGAATCTTATTTTCAAGTACTGACTTGGGAGTAAGAATGTTTTTAATTGGACTAAAATTTTTTGCTCTCGTCTGGTCTATTAAAGTATTTCCATCATTTGCAATGGAGCCAAAGATTCATTATTTTTTGGCTTGAGATTATGATGGAATAAAGCAAAATGGCTCACTAAACTGTCTGCGCTTCTTTGTTATGGAGCAGCGGTCAGTCCATGCAATTTTGGACGCGATTTTCACTATGGGTCATTCGGAAACAGTCTCTCTGTGCTTTAGTACAGGGGTAAGACTGCGTACATCCGACCCCCTTACCCCACCGTAGGTGGTGGGAGCCTTTGGGGCACTGGGGTAAATGAAAATGAAATGAAACGAAATGAAATGATGTCTGGTCTATTTAAGTGTGATTTGATCTTTTTAAGTTTGGTCTGGTCTAGTGTTGTAAACTTCTAGTGTATGCGTATTTTACTATTCTCTAATTACAAGTCTGGTTTGATAAGATCTGGTTAGGTCTGACCTAATCAGGTGTGGAATTGAATATATTCCAATAAAAAACATCCTAATTGTTTGAAAACGTTTTTTGTTTAATTTTACAAAAAATAAAACTGGACTTAAAATTTGACTCTCGAAGAACTGATTGATACTAGCTTTTCTTGTTTATTTTGATGAAGGTAGGTGGTAGCTAACTAGCTAAGGGAGTTATTTGGTTCTGGAACTGGAATCTCTGGATAAATCTATCAATTCATGCATGCTTTAATTGGTGCAGGACTGGCAAGAAAGGAAGATTTCCCGTACATTGCATACTATTGCGCTCATTGCAAAACCTTTAATGAGCCTAAGCATCTCCCAAATCTTATCACGTCAGGTTCAAGCTTGCCCCCTTTGAGATCCACGTCTCCTGTGAATGAAGCCAAGATAATCAAAAGTCCCACTGCCCCTGATAGTAGTAGCGTCACAGATTCCATCTCCACCAGCCCATCATCTTCTCCATTGGCGGTGACCAAAAGTGACATTTCTTTATCTTAGACAAGCTTTACTACAACCAACCAAACAGAAAAGAGTGAAATGGATACAACTCATACAAGTGTACAACACACATTTTGAAGTGTGGCTGGAATGACAGGTAATTTTTTTGTTCTAGAAGAACCAATGTTAATTATGTTGTCTCTTCGTACACTTTCGCAACACCTTGTCGGGTTTAGCAGTTCGCTGATGTATAAGTTTGCAGCAGACTGGTGAGCTGATCTGGTTTTGTGGTTGAGAAAGCTGAACTTTCATAAAGTAAATTGAATTACTTGTGGAGTGTTTAGGTGTTGTAGGCTTGCAGCCAATTCTTTTGTTATGATACGAGAGCATACGTGCACTGTAAATGTTCTAAAAATAATAAGCGGAGCTTATGATACATGAACCTAAGGCATTGCAAACTGGGTGGAAATTTTATTCATTTTATGATTTGTTTATATGGTTAAGTGAAAATTCTCGAAATAGGAGTAAAAATATTAGAGAATTTAAATTAAGAGTACTATGTTTTTATTTCCTAAATAAGAGATATTGCTCTTATGGTTTGGCAAAATACTCACTCCGTCCCGGAATTATCTTCATTCTTTCCTTTTCGGTCCGTCCCAAATTTATCTTCTCTTTCTTTTTTTTGCAAAGAATTTGTGGTTCACAATCATTCTTACACATTTCTCTTTCCTCTGCACAACTCTACACCACACATTTCCCACTATCTTAAAACTCGTGCCCAGTCAAATAAGGAGATAATTCCGTGACGGAGGTAGTAGTACTTTAAACATGACATTTTTTTTCAAGTTTGACAATAATTATTTATATTTAAGGAATGAAAACATAATACTTTTATGGGAGAACTACCAAATAAGCCCTCGAATTTTCATAAAAAGTGCAAATAAGCCCTTTTATAGGAGGATCTGTCCGGCCGTCGTCATTTGGGGCGGTTTTCGGAGGAATTTGTTGATGAATTTTTTGAGCATCTTCTTCATTAAATCTAGTTTACTCATACCAAATTTCAGCTAAAAATTCAATCGGGAAGACAGTCAAATGAAATTTTGAAGATAATTGCGCAGTTAGACAACACAATATACTTTAATAAATCATTTGACTTCCTTCCCGATTGAATTTTTAGCTTAAATTTGATATGAGTAAACTAGACTTAATGAAGAAGATGCTCAAAAAATTTCATCAAAAACTTCCACAGGAAACCGCCCCAAATGGCGACAGCTAGACAAAACCTCCTGTAAAAGGGCTTATTTGCACTTTTTATAAAAGTTCGAGGGCTTATTTGATAGCTCTCCCTACTTTTATTTTTGATTCCTCAGATGTTTTTACTCTTATTTAGGACAATTTTTTTTATATTATTAATTATAAGCAATAATAAGTGTTGGTTGTAATGCGTAAGCTATTAGGTGACATCCAAGAATGTCACTAAGGATGTTTTTTAATTGGATTGTAATTCCTTCCGGACCAGACTTGGATAGTTATAAAAATACAAAGAAACCAGACAAGACCAGTTCAAACCAGACCAGACCAGCAAATTACAGTCCAAGTAAAAACATGCTAACTCATTTTCGTGATATGTATTCATTTTTTGAGAAAGTAGAGGGAAAATTCCATTGGTGTATCATAATCAATAGATATCATTTCATGTACTCTAGTTCCAAAATATTTGGAACGGTATTATAAAAAGTAGAAATCAAAATATTTGGAACAAGAACGATATTATAAAAAATAGAAACCAAAACCGGACCGGACACATTACGATTTTCAACTAGAACCGAACTTTCCGAACCAATTTAACCAAAAAAATACAACTATTATCATAGATATGGAGTATTTACCATTAATAATGTCAATATTTATACTATATTTATCTACTTACATAATTTTGTTAGTTTTAAAGAGCAAACATTAAGATAATATACTTCCTGCATCTCATAATATTCTTTCCACTTACCTCTTTGGGATGTTAAAAAAATCACATTTCCCTTTTTGGAAAACTTTGTGTAGCTAACATTCATTTACATTTTTCTTACTTAATCATAATTATATATTCAAAAACTTTATTTTCACATTCTTAAATTACGATTCAAGTCAAACTGAGAAGAATTTTATTGGACAAAGGTAGTATATTTTCAAGAACTTTATTTTCGCTATGGGTCATCCGGAAACAGTCTCTCTATGCTTTAGTACAGGGGTAAGACTGCGTACATCCGACCCCCCTTACCCCACCGTAGGTGGGAGCCTTTGCGGCACTGGAGTAAATGAAAATGAGTATATTATAACCATTTTTATTTAGATTGTTATTATTACTACTTTTCGAAAGTCTATTTTTATAGGTTTTTATATTAAAGTATTAATTAAAATATTTTAAAACATAATAAACCGGTTAAATCCGATTCAAACTAGAATAATCCGAATTTTACCCAGAATTGTGAAAATGGAAATCGTAATTTTCATAACCGAAAATGAGACCATATAGCATTCTGGTTCCGTTTTTTCCAATTTAATCGGATTTGAATCGGTTTGTGCACACCCTAAAGAAGTAAATACATTCATAATTGTTTGTGAATAGAATTATATTCAATTTTATGTTACCCAAGTATGAAACTTCACTTCAACTTTTAGCAACTTCAATCAAATTTATATTTGTAAGTTCTTTCAATGACCTTCTTGTTGTAGTTGTTTATCCTATTTAGAGAAATAGAACATGGGGTGGGAAAAAAATCAAAAAAATGAAACCGACCGACAAACTGACCGAAATTGAATTGAACAAAACCGAAATTGACTCAAAGTTCCCGAAATAGTACTAAAATAGTTTCAAAATTCTAAAATAGGACTGTCATGTTTTTTATACCCAAAATAGGACTAATTACTGTCATGTTTAGAAAATACCGCCATGTTTGAAGTTTGGTATTGCCAAAACATGGCAATAACTAGTCCTATTTTGAGAATAAAAACATGACAGTCCTATTTTGGAATTTTCAAATTGTTTTAATCTTATTTCGAGTAATATTTCTTTCTAAATCGAACAGATAAACCCCCCAAATCCAACAATGGTACATCCACATCTTGGCGGGTCCAACTTAAAAGAACCAACCGGGCCAGAATTTAAGGATCTGTATGGCCGTTTATTTAACCCGGGCTTGCATCCATTCAAATTTCCTCAAAGATTAGGGTTCGGGTGAAACCTAATTTCCCCTCCTATATATCCTACGAAGTCTTTTCTTAGCCATCACCCATACTTCATTATAGCAGCTGAAGGAAATCTCGGAGCTTGTTTAGTTGATTTTCTCTCTCTTTTTCTTTCTGTTTCTTAAAATTAGGTTTAAATATTCACAATAAGAAGAAGGGCGATGATGAAATATCGAGATTGTCATGCACCACTCTGACCTCCTTGAGAGAGAGTGATGATATTTTTCTCATACCCATACTGTTATCTGAGCTCTTTTTTCTTGTTTTTCGTTCTCTTCTTTTAGCAGAAATTTACAAGCCGTGTGATGCGATCTTCTAGATCGAACCATGATGCGGACCGTATTATTAGCTCTAAGCTTATGTGGAGAATCATTGGTCTCTGACGGCTTGATTCCGAGTTTCTGCTATATTATTCATTTCTTGGTTCTTCATCTGTTTTGTGATTTTTCTCTCTCTACCAGGCTCATTCTTGGGCAGTGATCTACAACTAATAAATGCCAAGGACTAGATAAAGCCTTCGATTGATATCTTGTTATTCTCTTATCAAATTGACGACTTAGGATTGAATATAGGAAATGGATGAACCACAATGTAATCAGTATGTGATCGAACTATGGGTTGGGCTGGTGTTCTATGATGATTCATTTGCTTTAACCACACCGAAAGAGGGTTTCTGGACGGGAAGTGGGGTTCTTGATTTGAGTTAAAGATTTGTTCTTTCTTCCATTTTTCTTGATTGGGACATTGCTTTATGAATCTCTGTTCCTCCACGGATGCAAAGAGGAGAGTCTTGTTCTTTTCGATTATTGGAAGAGGGGATGTGGTTTTTTTACCTTCGACTTAAATCATAGGATCACCTGATACCTGCCCGGGGCTTCCTCAAATGTGGAAAATAAATGGCCTTTTGCTGAGAACAGTTCCCCACAATGTTATTTTCCAGGAATGTTTTCAAATAATTTCTAGTACATTATCAAGATGAAAGTTTCTTTAAAAAACCAAAATAAAAGTGGTGGATGAAATTGTACTTATTAAATTTTAGTAATTATAATTCGTTCAAAAATAAAATTATAACCATTGTTACTATTGGACTTTCTTATGCTTCCTCTTTTGTATTGTTTGATCTCTTAGACATTGACAAAGTTGAGAAATAAAAGTGTAGTGGTATATTTAAGTTTTTACTTTTCTTATTGGAAAATTGCTTTTTTAGTTCGTGAAATAGTCTTCATATTGAAATGTCCGGTCTGTATTTCTCATTTTGTGAAATTGTCTCTCAATTTTTTGAATTGTTGTAAATGTGGTCTTTTGAATGGTGAAATGTATAAGGTGGATATCTATTACATTTCACCTTACAAATATCACCTTTCAAATGCACAACGTGACATTTATCATCATAGAAATAAGGATCTGACATGTCAATATTGTGGTTATTTGAGGGACTAAAAGTGTGATTTTACTTTTTTTATTTGTCAAACAAAATTACATTAAAATAGTTTAAAACACATTAAATAATGTCAAATAATGTCATAACATTGTGTTTTACGGTTAAAATAAGTAAATTTTTTTCGTAGATGTGAAGTCAAATCAAGAACTTAATTAAGATCGAGTAGTCATAAAGATAAAAGTTAAGTGCAATATAATTGGGGGAAAAGGGGCAAAAAAACCCCTAAACTTGTCATGAAAGAGCATGTATGCACCTATACTTTTCTTTTGGGCAAAAATCTTTAAAATTCCTCAAAGGAGGGCAACGACACCCTTTTTAACGGTCAACCTATTTAAGAGAATTGGCCACCGTTAATTGTTCATTTGAATAGTCAACGAAATATATTTTAATTTTATTTGTTAACTAATTTTGTAAATTAGTTGAAATGAAGAAAAGGGGTTTTTTGAAAAATATAATTAAAATAAATTTTATTTATACAAATATAATTAATACTTCCTCCGTCCCACTAAAATTGGTTTGTGTGGTTGATATTAAATATATTTATAATTTTATTTATAATTTTATTTATACAAACCTATTTTATTAAGAAAAATAGGTTTGTGTGGTTGATATTAAATATATAAAGTAGGAATAAAGTAAAAATCATTCAGAGCCATGCAAATTTTACCAAATTTGGTATGAGACAATTTTAATGGGAGTAGTTATTATAATGTAGTGTTATGGTAATTTAAGTTTAAAATTGAACATAGGTTATTATGATTCCATTACTACTTTAGTCACTATTCATATTTATGCCAAAAATCTTTATTTTAGTCGCATATATGTACTTATTTCTTTTTTGATATAAAATATAATTAAAATGATTAGAAATACCAGTAAACCATTAAAAGTGACTAAATAATGAAATAACGATGATACAAAAAAGATTATCAATTAGAAAAGAATTATTCTATATTATGATTAGAATCTGTTTGGTAACACTGAAATTGATTTAATCGGTTGGATGTACTAAAATTGATGAAATTCTAATTGAAGCGATTCAACTAATCGGATATATTGAATTTCAAAGAAATGAAAATTGTACATGAAAATTGTTTTATTCAATCATCTTTATGCGTAGCATCTTCCCCTACTCTCTTGAGTGGCAACTCAATTGACCAACATTATTTTGGGAAATATTTTTAATTCAATATCAATTTGGTAAATATTATTTATTCAGCAATATTTTGGAAAAAATATTTTACAAATATATTTAATATATTTTAACTAATTTACAAATGTAGTTGATAAATACAAATAGATTTTATTTCGTTGAAACTCAAAGGAGCATTCTTAAGAGTGGCTGTCTTCCAAAAAAACAATGGCCGACTCTGTTACGTTGGTTCGCCGTAAATGAGGGGATAATTGCCTTCCTCTGAGGGGTTTCAAAGTTTTTTGCCCCAAAAAAATTTAAGGGCATAAATACACTTTGGTGACAATTTGAGGGGTTCTTTTGCCCCTTTTCCCATGGTGCAAAGAACTTATGTTGATTTGAGGTGACAATTTGAGGGTTTCAAAGGTGACACTTTGGGGTAAGAATTTATGTTGATTGAAAAAACATATCAAAAAAAGTGTTTTTGACAAAATGGAACAAAGATAATAATGAAGAGAAAGAGTATTAACTTATTTATGATATTTAGGACAAAGTGGTTTTAATGAAAGTTGTTGTTTCTCTTGAAAAATAATTCTTCTAAAAAAGTAAAACTTGTTTTGGTTATAAAGTGCAACAAGTGCTATTGAAGAAGTGGAATATACTTTATAATATCTATCAAATGCTCTCTCTATTATAGTTTTATCTATCAAATACTTTCCTTGTATTTGAAAATTCTTAGTATTTGTAAAATAGTAAGAATAATGAATAGATTGTGTGGATATGAAAAAGTACCTAAATTTGAAGAAAAATTTACGGTTATTTAAAACATAAAGTACTACCTTCATTTAGTTTGAAGGTTCCAATAGTAAAATGGAATGGTTATTTAAGTAATACTTCCTCTGTCCTGGTCTTTTTTTAGTTTTGACTTGATTTGCAAATTTAGATATTAGAAATAAAGTGTATGATTGTAGTTGTGTACAAAAAATGTGTGAATGTGAATGACATATATTTTTTTAAATGTGGAATTTGGAAGAATTAATTAGAACAATTCAAAAAAGCAATTTGGAAGAAATGATAGAGATGGAGGAAGTAATTAAATAAAGTACTCCTAATTGTAATTTTAAGAAGTAACTTTAAGAAATAATTTTAATAAGTATATATTATAATGTAATTAATATAGATAATTGTGATGTTATAAATGTATGATTTTTAATATTTAATGATTAATTTGTCACTTAAGATTGTTAATTGTATTCTAAAATGGAAATGAGAACTTTTATATGGCACGTCAAAAGAAGAAAAGTTTGAACCTTTTAATGGGATAGAGGAGTAGTAGTTACTTATTGCATAGTTTTCTAGATAAAAACATCTAATTTATCATTTCAAGTTGCATTTGAGGCAAAAAAAACTTTGAAATTAATGTTTGCCTGAGTCACCATATAAAAAAAATAATGTTATTTATTTTCATTCCAAATCAACACCACAGCTGGAGTTCATATTTCTGTTGGAGACATAAATTCATCCTCAATATGGTGTGACAATGCATTTTAAACGATTCATGATACCATTAAAGATGCTCTTAGTGAGTATCAAAATTTAGGTACCACTGCAAAAATAGAACCAAGACCGAATTGGACTAGAACTGTTTGAATTATGGCTGCAATATGTTTAGGCAAAATATCACAAAGGTTCAACGAATTCAACCAATGGTATAAAAAATGACTCATTCTGTTTTAGCAAGGTTTATTTAGTCATATTAAAATAATATATTTTGGAATAAGATTTGAGCAATTCTGCCACAACCATCTATTTACTAAATACAACAATAATTATTATGCCCTTCCAATTATATGCTTTATACAATTATTGTACCTTTCATCTCCTTCACATGTCTTCAACCAAAAAAAATCCGCTGCTAGATGCGATCCGTGAAGGTAAAGCTTGCTGGATCTGGTGATGGATGATGACCCAGGAGAAAATCACCCAAATCAAAATAAAATCGAAATTTATGATATAGTAGTATATTATTAGAGTGAAGCTTAAACAATATCATACGAAGAGAATGATTTAGAAGCTGTGACTTTATTCGTGCTACGTGATGTCTATTTATACATATTACAATATGTGTGATAGAAGAGAATACAAATAATAATATAATTATAATAATAATAGTGCATGGATATGTACTACGTGTGATGGAGTATATGGGTCCGAGCCCCCGGACCCACATACCCGGAAGAACAGAAAGCACAAGACAACAGAGTGGCGCCCTCGTCGGCCAAGACGCCCCCGTCGGCCGAAAAGGGGTCAACTCGGATTATGGTCCTGAGTCCAAGGAATCCGGGTGCCCTCGTCGGCCGTGCCCTCGTCGGCCACGCCCTCGTCGGCCACGAAGACGTCCCAGAATTGGATTTTACACTTACTCATTTGTACAACCCATTAGTGGCTTTGTATTCGGCCCAGTAGCGGTCCAGTTGTAAATAGGCCTCCCAAGCCCAAGGCTTGGGAGCCCAACCCTAATTTTCTCTATAAATACTCCCTTTGGGAGTAGTTATAGGGGTGACAAATTCATTCCATCGAAGCATATTATTGCACTTCTCTCTCTAGCTCTCACTTCTCTCTAGATATACTCTATCATTTGGTGCTCTCGTTGAGAGCTAGAACAATCAAGTTAGCACCCTTCGTCGTTACCAAGCACAGCTAACCACTGATCATGGGGAGAACTAAGTCAAACCGCAACCTCGTCAGCAAAGCCATCCCTGAGGACCAAGAGCCCATGGAGCACGATGAGGATGCTACGGCCGACCAGGTCGGCGGAGGGGACCTCTTCCAGGAGGCCTTCAACCTCACAACGGACCTCCGCAACCAACTCAACGGCGGAGCCCCTGATGCCCGCCTCGGCTTGGACAAGAGGCGAACTGAGAAGACGGATCACGCCCCGGCCCAGCCTATGGCCGTGGCCTCTTCGTCCGTAGACCCACAGGTCCAGGCCGCACTGTCGGCCATCCTCGCCAGCCTAGCTCAGAACCCCACCGTCCTCAGCGCACTCTTGCCAAGGACCGAGGGGAACGTCACTCAACCTCCTCAGCCCCAACCGTTGGCCATCCAGATAGGCAACGATGAGGGGGTGGTGCCCCAGGACACGGCGTCGTCCCACTCCCACCCTGCCGGCCTGGGCAGACCCCAGCGCGTGGAAAAGCCTCTGCCTTCAACAGGCTAGGTGACACGCGCCGTCGTCCGGTTTCGGAGAGGATGGCGGGACGGATTGGTGATCCTCGTCCTGGCTCGCCAAGGGAAAGCTTGGGGTCTGTATCCCGGACAGCGGACCAGCCCCGCCCGGATAAGGGCAAGGGAAAGTTGCACGAGGATGACGTGCGCCACCAGATCAACGTGGCTCACAACGAGCGCATGAGGAACCAGCCGGGCGCCGCTGCGGCCGCCAGGGACCCCCGGGACGAGGTCATCGCCCAGCTGGAAAGGAGGTTGGCACAGATGGAGGCCAAGCAGTCGGCCAACATCCCTACGGCCGGCGCCTCCAACGACCTCGGCCTCAACGCACTCATGAACAAGGTTAGCGCCCTGGAGAGGGAGCTGGCCGAGGGGCGGGGCGACCCCATCATCCAGGTCAGGACCAGAACCCCTTTCACCAACAGGGTCCTCTCGGCCCCCATCCCGGAGAAGTACAGGGGGAACACCATCAAGTCCTACGATGGCCGATCAGACCCCCAGGAACACTTCAGCCGTTACCAGAACAACATGCTGATGGTGAACGCGTCCGACGAATACCTCTGCCGTTGGTTCCTCTCTACTCTCGAGGGGCCAGCGTACGAATGGTTCAACGCACTCCCCGAAGGGAGCATCGACTCATGGCAGGATCTCGCCCATCGCTTCCTCACTCACTTTGCCGGGAGGAAGCGCGCGAAGAAGTATTTCACCCACCTCCTCTCCGTCAAGCAGCAACACGAGGAGACCCTCCGGTCATTCATTGATCGGTGGACGAGGGAGACCGAGGAAGTCGAGGGGGCCGATGAGCGCACCCTCCTCGCCTTGTACCAGGGAGCCCTCTGCAGCTCCCCGTACGCTAGGAGCCTCATCACCGACCCCCCGAGGTCGTACGCCAAGGCGCTCCAGCGCGGAGGCTTGTATGCCGACGCCGACGAGCTCCACAATCACAAGAGAGGGGGGGCCATCCCCCCAAGAAGACAAATCCTTCGCCGGCCCCGGGTCCGTCCCCGGTCGGCTAGGGTGCCCAGGGCCGTCACGGCTCTGGTGGACAGAGTAAGAAAGATCGCCACTGGCGGCCGAGGTTGGAACGGCCGGGGGTAACCCTCACCCACCCGGTCGGCATCATCCTCGATTATGCCGAAAAGCACGGCCTCATCGAGCAGGCTCCTCGGACGGCCGAGGAGATCCTTGCCATCCAGCAGGGCGGCACATACTGCCGGTTCCACAAGAACTCGTCGCACAACACCGACGATTGCATCACACTGAAGAAGGCCATCGAGCGCCTTATTTGCCAGGGGGAACTCTCCCAGTTTGTTAAAGGTGGCCCACGCAAGAACACTTGGGTAAACACCGGCAAACATGGGGGCGAACCCTCTGCGAAGAAGCGGGAGATTGGTAGACTCAGCGACGACGAGGACTTCGAAGAGCCCCCGCCAAAGAAGAATCACATCCACCTCATCGTAGGTGGGAACACTGGGGGGGACTCCGCCACTCAGAGAAAGAAATGAGCCCAATCCCTTTACATTGGGGAGGTGTCCCACGTTCCCCCCCAGCCGAAGAAGCAGCGAACGGAGGCGATCACCTTCACCGACAAGGATCTGCCTCCGGGTACGGAATCACACAGGGACACCCTCGTCATCCGGTGTGAGATTGGTGACTCCATCATCCACCGTACTTACATCGATACGGGGAGCTCCGTCAACGTGATGTACCTGGACACATTCAAGCAGCTGAAGCTGGACAGAGCTTTGCTGAAGCCGATCAAGACACCGTTATCCGGCTTCACCGGGGACTCTATCGACGCCGAGGGAACGATAGTCCTCCCCGTGGAGGTCGGTGACGGCCCCCACCACGCCAAAATTGACATGGAATTCATGGTGGTCAACCTCAAGTGCGCCCACAATCTGATCTTGGGCCGGCCAGCGCTGGAGGACTTGGAGGCCATCATCTCCATGAAGCACTTGTGCCTGAAGTTCCCAACCGACGACGGCATCGGCTACGCCAGAGGAAACCAGAGGATAGCCAGGGCATGCTACCTCAAACTGACGAGGCCGGCCGAGAGGGAAGGCCAGAGGATAGACACCATCACGGCCGCCGTCGCCATGGACGAGAAGAGGCCACATGCGGAGCCGGCCGAGGAGGTCGAGGAAATCCCTCTAGATACCTCCCGGCCGGAGCGGGTTCTCAGAGTCGGAAAGCAACTCCCCCAGGACCAACGAGACGCCATCCTCCTCGTCCTACGGTCATACGCCGTTGTCTTCGCGTGGGGCCCGGACGATATGCCAGGCATCAGCCGCCAGGTGATCACTCACCGGCTGACCGTCGATCCGGCCTCCGCGCCTGTCAAGCAGAAGCGGCGCTACTTGTCCGCCGACAGGCGGGACTTCGTCAAAGGGGAGGTCGTCATGCTCCTCTCAATCAAACACATTAAAGAGGTGAAGTACCTGACATGGTTGGCCAACGTTGTCCTCGCCCAGAAGCCGCCGACGTTCAGAATGTGTGTTGATTACACTGACCTGAACAAGGCGTGCCCCATGGACCCGTTCCCTCTCCCCAACATTGATCAGCTGGTGGATGAGACGGCGGGGTGCGAGTTGATGTCGTTCCTCGACGCTTTCAGAGGGTACCACCAAATCTCCATGCATGAGGAGGACGCTGAGAAGACGGCATTCATGACCCCAGAGGGAATCTTTCGCTACCTCGTCATGGCCTTCGGACTCAGAGCGGTCCTTGGCCGGACGATGGAGGCGTACGTCGACGACATGATCGTCAAAAGCAGGCAGGCCACCTCCCACGCCGACGACCTCCGGGAAATCTTTGAAATAATGAAGGAGTTCAGGCTCCGCCTCAACCCCAAGAAGTGCGCCTTCGGCGTCGAGGGCGGCAAGTTCCTCGGCTACATGGTCAGCCGGAGAGGCATCGAGATAAACCCGGAGAAGACGCAGGCTATCATCAACATGGAGCCGCCCCGCAACGTCAAGGAGGTACAGCGACTGACGGGGCGCCTGGCGGCCTTGAACCGGTTCCTCTCCAGGTCAGCCGAGAGGGCGCTCCCTTTTTTTCAGATCATGCGTAAAGCCAACAACTTCAAGTGGACGACGGAGTGCCAGGAAGCATTCGACGAATTGAAAAGGTACCTGTCGTCCCTGCCCGTGCTCTCCAAGCCCGAAGCCGGCGAAACCCTCTTCTTGTACTTAGGGGTGAGCACGTCGGCCATCAGCTCCGTGCTCATCCGTGAGGACGAAGGGGTGCAGAAGGCCATCTTCTACATCAGCAAGACACTCAGGGAGGCCGAGCTCAGGTACTCCCCCATTGAGAAGACGGTGCTGGCCATCGTCCATACGGTGAAGAAGCTGGGACACTACTTCCAGGCCCACGCCGTCCATGTAGTGACCCAGCAGCCTCTCGGCGCACTCATGAGGAGCCCCACCAGCTCCTCTAGGATGGTGAAATGGGCAATCTTCCTCAGCCAATTTCAAATTGAGATCAAGCCAAGGCCATCCATCAAAGGGCAAGCCTTGGCCAACTTCGTCATTGAATGCACAGCAAGGGAGACAGCCGTCGCAAGCCCCAGGCTGGAGCTGGACGATACATGGACCCTGTTCACTGACGGCTCGTCGGCCGCGAAATCATGCGGCGGCGGCGGCGTCCTCATATCCCCTGAAGGATTCAGAGCTTACTATGCCATCCGCTTCAACTTCAGGGTATCCAACAACGAAGCCGAGTATGAGGCCCTCCTCAGCGGTCTCAGACTCGCAGCCGGCCTCAAAGCCAAGCACCTCAAAATCAAGTGCGACTCCAAACTGGTAGTGGGCCAGGTGGAGGGATCGTACGAAGCAAAGGAAGGCCGGATGAAGCAGTACAAACAAGCGGCGGAGGAGTTGCTGAAAGCGTTTGAAACCCACGAGATCACTCAGATCCCAAGGGCCAAGAACGCCGAAGCCGACATCCTCTCCAAGCTCAGCTCGGACACCCCGGAGCACATCTCCCAGTTGGCCAAGATCGAGGAGTTGAGCATGTCCAGCATCCATGCCAGCCCCGTCTTGTGCGTCCAACAGCGACCAGAGGACTGCATCTCCGACATCGCCACCTTCATCACAACGGGGGAGCTGCCCCCGGACGAGGAGAGGGCCAAACTTGCCAAACTCAGGGCCCCAAGCTACACCATCGAAGATGGCAAACTCTACAAACGGTCCTATAATGGCACCCTCCTCCGATGCCTGCACCAGGACGAGGCCGACATAGCCATGGAAGAAGTTCATTGTGGCGTCTGCTCCTCACACCAGG